AAGATTGCGGAGGCGCTCCATGCAGGGGCCGTCAAAGAGGATGCGCGAAGTGGCCGGAAGCGCCAAGATGACCGGGTCACAAGTCGGACACAGGAGCCCGGGCAGGAGGGCAGGCCCACTGTCGGCCGTGAGCAGGGCCGGATGCTCGACTTGGCCGAAGCGCGGAAACTCCGGCAGGTTCTCGCTGGCGGCACAGCACCGGCAACAGCAAAAATGCTCGCAGCCACAGCACACCAGGCTATGGTGCCAGCATTCGCAAAATGCGTCCGACAGGGGGAGGGTGCCGGCGGTGGGGGGCCGGGTGCTTGGGCAATTGGCGCAACTGTGCGGCTGGACTGTGCATGCGGCCGAGGCCAGGACATCATGGTGGGCACATTGAATGCAGGGGGTCTGGACACAGGGCGGCCAGTTGGTGGCCCGGGGAGGTGAGAGCAGCAGCGCCTCGAGCGGCGTGTAAACGGACGTCGGAGGGTCCACTTGCGAAAGGAGCCCCGGGCCGGTTGCCAACCCGGGCGCCACAAGGTCCGATGTGTCGCCGGGACCGGGACACCGGTGGTCCGGGGGAAAGGCCAACTGCTGGCCAAGGTCCAGCCCGGAGAGAGCCGCCACCCGGCGGATCCCTTCGACATAGGCGGCGTTGGCGCGGAGGATTTGCCGATCCAGCTCGCGCAGGAAATTGCGCAGGGCGAAGGCGGTTTTCGGCCCGACAGCCGGCGCCAAATCCGTGGCCACCCGGTGGGGGAAATTCGACAGGAGCAGCGGCCGGCCACCGGCCACCGGGATCGCGTCAAGCAGTGGCCGGCTGGCAGCCAGCTGCCCGCTTCCGGTCATCGGGCTTTCCGGCGGGGAAGCCGCTGGGGAAATGCCGGGAGGGGGGACTGGCGACTCGATGGCCGCATCGCGGATCGAAAAGAGGAGGTGCTTCAAAAGCTGGAGGATGGACACAGGTAAGAGCGCGGCCATCAGGGGGCGAGCCAATGCCGGAGCAAGGCCGGCATGAGGCGGTGGTAGCAAAGGGGCCCCCCCCACTCGGGCGTACTTGATACTCGATGGCGTGCGGGGCCAGGTCAGGCGGGAGTTTGACCGAGGGCCGGTGGATGCCCCCGGCAGGGGGGGTGTTTCCGATGTCGGCGGGAGGGGCGGGCGCCGGTGGGAACATGGCTGAGCTGGGGGGGTGAGAGAGCAAGTGAGCAGGGGAACACGAGGAGCGTGTGTGTGAGCTGGAGTGGGAGTGGGGGGGGGGGGGGATCGGTATCTTGGGTTGAGGCACAGGATCGGCTGGGTGGTCTTTTTCAGGACACCCTCGGCCGATCTTGCTGGCCCCGGCCGCAAGTGCAGATCTTGTAATCCCCAAAGTTGTTGTCCCCCCCCCCCAGAGATACTTCGCCCGGCTCGCGCCTCCCTCGGGAATGGGGGATCGCGGGGTTGTGGCCGATGGGGGGGGGGGGGGGGGGGGGGGGGGATGGTCGTCGCTCGCCGTGGGCGCAGGGGGACGATGCGCGGCGACATGCCGAACCAGGGGCAGCAGTCGCCCCGGCCCGGCCCGGGCCCGCTCCGCGGACCCCATCCCGGCAGGGCCGACCAACCCCTCGGGATACCAACGTATCGGCGCGTGCAGGGACTGGAGCACTGGCAGTTGCATACTTGTGGCCCCGCCCGGCTGGTCCGGGCCGATCGGCACCCGCGCTTAGCATCCCCCGGGCGGTGGCTTATGAAGGTCGATCGGTCTCTCGGGGCGCTTTCGGTCGTGCACTTTGCCAAGGAGTCGTGCGACCTCCCCCCCCCCCTGGCGGGGCCAAGTGAGGGGGGGGGGGGATAAAGAAAAGAGACCCCGGCCACGCCGTGCCGGACTTCGCGACACGAAGCCAGATTCCCTTCTTCCTCTCCTCCGCCCCCCTTTCCCGTCCTCCCCGCTTCCCTCCCCCCCTTCCTTTCCCTCCCCCCCCCCTCGCCACCCGCCCCGTCATGAGCTCCGACAACGGCCGGCCCTTCGACATTCTCGATGAGACGACCTTCGACCTGATTGTTGTCGGTACTTCGCTCGCGTCGTGCATGCTGAGCGGGTATGCCTTTTTTTTTTCCCGAGCCGCTGCTCGCTGTGTCTGTTGCCCCACACACTTTCTTGTCCCGGGACTGACACCGCCCCCCCCCCCCCCCCCCCCCCCCCCCCCCCCCCCCCCGGCCTGCGCAGCGCCGCCTCCCTCCTCGGCAAGAAGGTCCTCCACCTGGACTACGCCGAGCGCTATGGCGGCGAGCACTCCACCCTGACCCTGGGGGAGGTGGAGGAATTCGCTGGTGCCAGCTCGACTTCGCCTTCCTGTGAGTACCGACCCGGCCACATGGGGGTCTCTTCTTCTCGCGCTTGCCGTGTCTGGATCCCTGCTTCGCAGGGGTTTCTTTCTCCCCCCCCCCCCCCCCCCCCCCCCCCCCTTCGCCGAGCCTGTGAGATCCTAATGCCCCGCCTTTCTTCTCGTGCCCCCGCCACGCCAGTGGCCTTCTCCCGCGTCAGCATGCGGCCGGCCCAGGTCCCGCAGGAGATTGCCGCTCGGAAGTATGGCTATCATCTGGACGTCCACCCGGTGCTGCTCTTCGCCCGGTCGCCGACCACTCGGGCCCTGGCTCAAAGTGGTGTTTCGCGCTACCTGGACTTTCGCATTGTCCCCGAGGAATGGGTCCATGTTGAGGGGTCCGGCTTTGAGCGCGTGCGTAAGCCCCTCTCCCTGTCTTTCTGGTTGCCTGCCCCTCGGCCCGTGGGCCGGCCATCTTCCTGCCCGCCGATTCCCGACCGCCGATCATCAGGCTCTCTCCTTTCCTGCCCGGCCTTCAGCCCCCCCTGTGCCTGACCCTTTCCACACAGGTCCCCTCCAAGAAGGAAAACGTCTTCGCCAGCAAGTCCCTGTCGTTGATTGAAAAGCGCATTCTGATGCGTGTGCTCACCGCGGCCGTCGACTGTGCGCTTTTCCCCCCTGCTCGTGTTTGGCTGTGATGGCGTGCTCTTTTTTTTCCCCCCTTTCGGGTGTGTTAACTTCGCGATTGACTCCCCCCCCCCTCCTCCTCCTATCTCGCCTCTGCCGGTGTTTGTTTGCTCCTCGTGCTTTGTGCCATCCGGAAAGTCGACCCACTGGCCGTCGGACTGACTCCGCCCCCGAGCGACCCAACCCAACGTGTCGACGGCGCCTCCCCCCTTCAGGCCCCTGTGGGCGAGGGAAATCCCCCCTTCAGCGAGTATCTCACCCAGCAGAAGGCCACCCGGCCGTTGATCCGTCACTCTCTCCTCGAGGCGGCCACCCTGACCACGTCGGTTGATGGTGCGCACCATCCCGCCCCCTCCCTCCTCGCCAAGTCCCCGTTTGAGGCCCCCCCCCCCCCCCCCCCCCCCCTGGGCGTGCTTGTGACTTAACCCCCTCCCGACCAGCTATTTCCACACATGCGGCTCTGTCTCGAATTCAGGCACGCCTCCACTCTCGCGGGCGCTTCTCCCAGTCGGGCATTGTTGGCAGCGATGTTGCCACGCTCATTGCCCCGATCGGCGGCGCCGCCGACTTCCCGCAGGCCTTCTCCCGGTGCGAGCGTTGCATCCTTTTCCCTTTTTTAATTCCCTCCTCCCCGTGGAACTACTCGTCTGACTTGTTTCTCTTCTCGCCCTCTCCCTCTCTCCGCCCCCCTGCCCTCCCCTTGCCTTCGCGCAGACTTGCCGCCATCAATGGGGCTACCTTCATGCTGGATACCCTGCCGACGGCTCTCGAGGTCGACCCGACCGGCGAGCAGCCCGTTCGCCTCACCCTTCCCTCGGGCCAGGTGGTGACTGCCCCGCTACTTAGCCTGGAGGCTGTGGACCTCCTGCCAGCCCCTCAGGAGGCCACCTGTGCGCCCGGCCGCTTTCGCGCTCTTTGTGCAAATGCCCTGCGCCCGGTGGCCACTCAGCAGTCGCACATGCATCGTGCCATGATCGTGGCCGATCAGCCCTTCAGTGCGCTCTTCGCTCCGGCAGTCGGATCCTCCGAGGCCGATGACACGGCGGCCATCTCCTATGAGGCCCCCATGGACGAGGGCCACATGGTCCGGTTGGTGACCATCCCCGCCGGTGACCGACCCATCGCCGTTCTTCAAACCGGTCAAGCCACCCTCTCCAGCCCAGCGGACAAGTGTATGTGCCCTGATGACCGTGTCACCCTTCCTCCTGCCCCGTTTCTCGCGGCCTCAGTCTCACCTCTTGCCCTGTCGGCTCTGCACTCCAGATGTGTACTACATCTCGCGCCAGGCGCCCGAGGATGAGACAATCTCTCCCGAGGCCGATCTGCAGGATGCCCTGTCGTGCATCTTCCACTTCGAGGACTTGGCCACCAGTCCGGCGCCGGCTGGCCGTGTTGCTCCCCTGATGGCCATCTTCTACCGGCACTCGTCGGCCACTCACGACATTCAGGCTGACGGGTCGCCGTTTGTGCCGGGTCTTGCTGGCCAGGTGGCCCTTGTGGACAACAGTGCCGGGGCCACTCACTTCTGCTCCGAGGGGTCCCTGGTGTCAGCCAACCGGGCCTTCTACGCCCTGTTCCCCGACGCCCCGGAGGGGTCGTTCCTGCGCCCGGAGCTGGAGAACGTCGACATTGAGACGGTGCGTTTCGGCCGGGCCTCCTTTTGAGCTTCCACAGCCTGCTTACATATTCCTCTCCCACATGTGTTTCTCCTCCTCGGCCTCTTCCCCCTTCCCCTCCCCCGCTCTCCTTGCCTCCTCCCATCCATTCCTTCCCTCGATCAATTTGGCTCGGGCCGTGACTCAGCTTTCCGCCGTCCGAGCCGAGGTCATGGAGCAGGAGGCCCAGGACAGTCGAGATGCCGCAGCCGCGGCCGCGGCTGCCTCCACCCCCGATGAGCAGGAGGGCAACCCGGAGCAGGGCCAAGAGTAGGCCGACCGAAGGGGCCTCTCTTGACCCTTGCGCTGCTGTTGGAAGTAGACCGCTCAAGGGGCCGACGGTAATACCAAACAAAATGCATGCTCTTCTTTTCCGAGTGTTGGTGACCATGTTACACGGGAGGGGGCGGGGGGGGGGGTCCCATTACTTCTTCTGGCGCACGGTCACGCGGTCACGGGCCAGCCAGCACCGGTTCGTGGTGGTGTTGAGGAACCCCACCGGGCCGAAGTTGCAGTCCGCGCAGCACATGTACTTGCGTCCTTGCACGGCATGCGCGAAGCCCATGTTCAGGAAGGTGAAGATCGAATCCACCTCGAGGAAGAGCTCAAGCTCCTCGGGGGGGAAGTCCTCCGGGTTGAGCTTGCTCTTGCCCTGGGCATCGAGCATCTCCGGCGCGGGCAGGTCAATCTTGGCGACCGGGAGGCAGCATGTGAGTCGGCTTGACGCGTGCGCGCGAGAGGGGGGCACAGAGGGAGGAAAGATCAAAAGGGAGAAGCACGCACTTTGGTTTTGCGCACGGTACCGGCCTTGGCATCCAGCATGGACGAGTTGCAGTACTGGCACTTAAGGGCGGTCGGGTTTGGCGCGCCATCGACGTAGAGATCCGCATCGATGCACGGGCCAACCGGCGGGGCCGGGACACTGGTCTTGGCGGCGCTCAGCTGGTTGGCCAGAGCGGCATTGGCGCCTGCGGGGAGGAGCGGCGTCATGGCAAAGCCAGGCGGGAGAATGGTCAGGGCACAAGAAGGCGACACAGCCAGGGGCAGAGGCAGACGCACGCTCAAGGAGCTTGGAATACTCCTCAGGAGAGAGAGTCTCGTCAGCGGTGACAGCCTTGTTGTCGGTGGGTGGCGAGGACATGGTGTGATGCTGATGGAGGAGAGAGGGTGCAGGCGGGAGAGCAGGGAGGGGAGATGAGCGAGAGGAGAGGAGCGAGAGGAGGGGCACACTATTTGCCAGGAGGATGAAGCATCGCCCGGTTCCCGGGGTTTTGTCGCGCGCCCCCCCCCCCCCCCCCCCCCTCCGGGTCTGGATTCCCCCTCAGCGATCTTAGCGCGGGCTGGTCCCAAGCCCCTGCTCTGGCCCCTCCCGGAGATGCGGCCCCGTTGCGCGGGAACAGGCGGCAGTCAGCCCGCGCAGGGGCCCCGAAAGCTATACGCTGGCAGTCGGAGAGCGCTGGCATCTGTCGCTCATTTACGTTCCGCTCAAACGTGTTGACTGACATCTGTGGCCGGGCAGGAGGGTACAAGCGGGGGGGGGGGGCGCGCTTGTTTTTTGTGGGCTCGTTGTCCTGGGGGGAGGGGGGGGTAGAGGACGTGCGAGGGGGCCGATATTCCGATCGTGACCAGAGGAACTCGGCTCGTGCGTGCGCGCGCGCGCGCGCGCGCCTGGCTCCCACGATGGTTGTGGAGGAGGCGGCCGTTCTGTCCTGCTCTGTTGCCCTTTATCCGGTGGCTTACTCCGGGTGTCCCTGCCCCCCTGCCGAGGGACGCCGCCAGCCAGCTTCCACTACTCTCCCCTCTCCTTTCCCCCCACCCCCCCCCCCCTCCCCCCACATCATAGGCTTCCCTCTCCC